ATGATTCAACTGTAACATATCAATATAACACAATACTGCATAAGCTTGTATGACATTTTTTTTTCTAATTCTTAGTGTTCGACCTCGCAAAGCCTCATGAACGGCTGAACCGGCTCAACAACCTATATATTTTTGAAATCAGAAAAGAAGGATTCTCAATTCATTCGAAAAATATGTATAGGGTGTTCCATTTGAAATAACGAAGTTGGTACCCATTTCTTATATCAGCACCTCGTACAGTGAAGATTTGGAAACTGGTTATATAAAATAAAAAGACCAAAAAATACCACAATACTTATTTTGGCAACTAAGTTGCCATCCTCAGTAGACCTGTAAAGTAAAAATGATTAGCTGACTCGCATAGTGGCTGACTCCTTAGTATCTTTCGGATATTGCAGGTCGACCTCTGGACAATATCCGAAAGATAAATCGAAGGAGTTAGCTAATCATTTTTACTTTACAGGTTGGCAATTTAGTTGCTGAAATACGCGTATTTAGGTTTCTCTAAATATTATGGTATTTTTGGGTCTTTATATTCCACCTCGTACAATTTTCTGGATGTTGAGAACACACCCTACAACTTTTGTATTTGAAGTTTGTTTCTATCTTCAATGATAAACCCTGTAGAAGCTCTTTAAATATTCAGGGTGATTCTTGAGTACGTGTAAAAAAATCATGCATGTTGCTGGCGTCAAAATAAGAAGAAAAGTTCGTATAAACATATATGTCCGCAAGTTATTCATTATTGAGATACAGAGTGTCAAAGGATTTTTATTCCTGTTTTTTGGGAATAAATTTGGTATCTCACTCGAATTCACCAAAAACCGGAATGACAATGAAACTTTGACACTCTGTATCTCAGAAACGAATAACTTGTGGACATATGTTTATAAAAACTTTTCTTTTTATTTTGACGTCAGCAACATATGCTCCTGAATTTTGTACACGTACTTAAGAAACTCCCTGTGTACAGAAATAGCCGTGTACATGGTGCAGATTTTGATTCTGAAGTAAATTGTTGGGAATTGAGCAAATTGTTATTTAATATATAAATTTAAACATTGTCTTGCAAAAATTGGACGTCCTGATTCCGAATCCGAAGTGATTTTCAACCTATCTTGTCTTCCTAATCCATTATTGTTGTTGGTTAGGGTTAGGGTTATGTCGGCATTGTATTCTTCTTCTTAATCTTCTTTGTTTCTTGGCGATGGCGAGTTTCTTGGCCTATCTGTCAAGTATACTACTTACCACTTAGTATCTGTCAAGTATGCTACTTACGACTTAGTATCTGTCAAGTATACTACTTACCTCTTAGTATCTGTCAAGTATGCTACTTACGACTTAGTATCTGTCAAGTATACTACTTACCACTTAGTATCTGTCAAGTATGCTACTTACGACTTAGTATCTGTCAAGTATACTACTTACCACTTAGTATCTGTCAAGTATGCTACCTACGACTTAGTATCTGTCAAGTATACTACTTACGACTTAGTATCTGTCAATTAGGCTAGTTGACAGTTAGATCTGTCAATTATTAAAAAAATATATCATGTGGCGCTTCTACGCTTTCGTAGAATAGAGTTTTATTTCATTAATCTCGGTAGGTCGAGAACAATTTCTGAAACAAAAGCACATCAGTAATAGACCAATCATACTACATATATCCACCTTTATACTGACATTATCGTAACTAGACCACTAGTAGTCATATCTCTGCAACCCAAAAATCTCGGGCTTAATAGAACTTTTAACTTAAACCATGTTTATAATAATTCTTTTATACATAGATAATGATTGACGACATAATTCGATCAAAAAATCAACTGGAATATGTTTTATCTTTGAACATAAATAATAGTACCTTCTGAAAACGGACCCCCTTATGACGTAGAAACCTCATCTCGCCATAGTTAAAGAAAATACCAAACGCCCGACGGAGACTGAGGCTTGCTGAGGCAACTGATATATTAATTAATTCATCATTCATCTCTGTCTGGAATAGTCTTGTTTCAGTATTAGGGTTTTGACGTCACATCATCTCCTCGTTTTCAGAGGTCCGAAAAATCGGGGATTTCAATAATTTTTTATAAAACGTAGGGAGCTCACAGCAAGAAACGGTTTGCGGTGGTGAGCTAGTTTGGGTTAGGGTCCCTTGATGGAAATTGACGTTAAAGTCATCTTAACAGGGTACGGACAGATCATAGCTGCATTCTTTTTTAATGATCTAGAGATTTTAGTTTTGTCTACTGGCATCCCTGACATTGCGGGCACGTCACATCCATGGGCGCTACAGAAAATCATTCAAAATTTTAATAATAGGTATGTACAGGGTATTTACTTGTTGAGGAAGATCATATGGCGAACGTAATTATAATCCGTTTCTATTCAAAATTGGAAGGTATGTGGGGTTTTCCAGGGTTGGAGATGATGATTTGTTCCGTCAAACTTGGAAAATTCAAGATAGCGGATCCAATATGGCGAACAAAACTTGTAGTTATGATCCGATTGTATTAAAAAAATCAAAATTGGTATCTGGGGATTTCCGGGGTTGGAGATTATAATTATTTCGTCAAAATTGGGATATTCAAGATGGCGGATCCAATATGGTGGACGAGTTTTGTAATGAAGATCCGATTCTATTCAAAATTGGTATCTGGGGGTTTTCGGGGTAGGAGATAATTATTGTTTCGTCAAAATTGAAAAATTCAAGATGACGGATCCAATATGGCGAAAGACATTAGTTTATATAATTATTAACTCTACCACAAATAGAAAATATGTTGGATGTAAGAGTGAAAATAACGTGCCTATAAGTTATACTGCGTAATACTTAGCGTATACCTACTTCTTTGTTACTTTCATCAATGAATTATTCGAAAATGACTTTTCATTTAATAGAGACGGAAAAATCTAATCTGTAACATGGGGGTGAAGTTTATACTACTCTTTATTTTCGTGCACATTTTATGTATTAAGTAATTTTCATCAGCCTACTTTTCGTCCTAGACGAAGTTTTATAAATAGTGTGATATCAGTAACTCCATAAATTCTTCTCCGAGTTGGATTTCTGAGAATATATTTAGCACACATGACATGAGTACAGTAGTCTAGAATTTAGATACCCACATCGAGGTTTCCACCATTCCCCAATCATAAGGCTCAGCTCATGCAGCTCATAGATAAACTACTACTCAGCTTGAAATCAGAATTCATTTAGTCAATTCAGTCAACCCTGGTATACAGTCTAAGAACAGTCTCTTTTGAAGAAGAAGAAGTCTTTATTGAACCACGGAAAATTACATTTTCATAGAGGTCCTTACTCTAAAAAAAAACATGTCATATAAAAAAAAAGGAATCATTAAAATTATAGAGTACATTTTGTCAGGTACATTGGTTGCGTAGTATTGATAATAGCCTAATTATATCACAGAATTTGTCACTACCTATCATTACTTTGCGTTTTTACAAAAAATCTTGAAAAGATTACAAATGTAGCCAATTCAAAGCGTCTATTTACTCATTAGGTATTTTTTCAGTTTTTTATTAAATAATTTGCTGTTACATTCTTTTATTTCAACAGGAAGTTGATTATATATTTGAACACCTTTAAAGCAAATGGATTTTTTATAGGCTTCCATAGATGCATTGGGTTAGAATAACTTCTTGCTATCGCGTGTATTGTATGAGTATAAACTATCACATGTCGTAAATGACAGATTTGAAAATGTTTGACCGTTAATGGTTTGATGAATGTGATTGGATATTTGGAGTTCATACATATTATCTAAACTTAAAATATTGAAGTTTTTATAAAGATTAACTGTACTATATCTATAGGGCAGTGAGTATATATTTTTGATGGCTTTATTTTGGAGTGTCCTCACTTGTTTCACCAATTTATTACAGGCTGGAAACCAAATCATTACCAGATATTGAAGGTGGCAGTGTATTAGAGAGTAATACACTGATCTTAGTAAAAATCTTGGAACATACCATGACAGACGCTTCAAGATGCCAATTGGGGCACTAATCTTTTTGGTCAAACGATTTATGTGATTACTCCATGACAGTGTTGAGTCGATGTATAGACCTAGATATTTTATTTCACAGGTATATTTGATTTGCTTAGTGCCAAAGATAAGAGGTTCAGTTGAATTGATTTTATTGTTAGAGACAAACATGAAACGTGACTTCTCGGTATTTAAAGTCAATTTGTGACTTGCAAGCAATTTTTCAACAAGTATATAGGAGATCAAGCATCATGTCCTCTCTTATTTGTTCTATAGATCTACCTGAATAAAGTAGTATGGTATCATCAGCATACAATTTTATTTTCCCTCGGAGGCGCAGGTTTGACATTGAATTGACATAAATCAGGAATAATGTTGGTCCTAATATTGTGCCCTGAGGGACACCACATGTTATTGTTTGATTAGTACTAGCTACACCATCAATTGCTACATGTTGTAGTCTGGTCTTTTGGTGAAATATATTGAGCTTTCAGTACAATTTATATGTTCCCTGAATCGCAAAGATTATGCTGGAGTAGTAAACTCTAAAACTAGAGGATTGTTCATCTATATCTTGGTATAGTTGAATCTGGAATTTCATATGGAAATTACGTATGATACGCCACTGTCCTCAATATAACCTAAATAACAACAAATGTCAAAAATCTAGTGTTTATCCCCAGAATTGAATAAGGATGGAACTATATAACTGTTTCACAAACACTTTAGAGTGAGAGGAGACGAGGATCTGTCCGTACCCTGTTAAGATGACTTTAATGTCAATTTCCATCAAGGGACCCTAGTTTGGGTGAGTTCTATTGAATTATGAAATAAAATTTTCTTGAGATATAAGCCCATCAGCGGTCAGATTGTAAAATGTTTGTTTAATTCATACTGGCAGTCAACAGTCAAACAGTCATCCACATTCAAATGTCATAAGTCATAAGTTCCCTAACATAACCTAACATTACGTAAACATCAAACATCTTTGGCCTGACTGCCGACTGAAGTTCATTACGGAGTTCAAAATAAAGTAATAATAAAACAATAAACATGTAAAGTTGTAGTTTTACATGTAAACATGTAAAGTTGTAGTTTTCGAAGAGAAAAACATATCAAAATGAAAACTGTTGACACAGTGAACGTCGATAAATACAGAAAATTAGTTCAAACTTACATAGACCTAGTGAGTACATATGAAGCATTTCATATTTCGATAAATTATACCTTTCCAATCTTCAGCACATATACAATTCGGCGCTATTTTGGGCCGATAAGGTGGTGGCAGTAACAGGAAATCCAAGAGATGTTTACTGGCTAGCCCAGTGTATGTATCTGTTGAAACAATACCACAGAGCTGCACATTTACTTCGATCAAACAATCTGGAAAAGGTGCTAGTCTCACATGATTTATTCACCTGATGTGTAAAGTCTGATTTTAGGCAGATCTTCTCTGTACATACTTGACTGCCAGGTGTCTATTTGAAGCAAATGAACTTGGTGAAGCTCTCAAAGTTGTTGACAATCTCCAGTTGAATAAAGATGACCTGTCTCTGCCTTCATCCCCTACTATTTTGTATGGTGAAACACCAAAAAATGTAAGTGTGGTGAAGTTGCTTTATCTCTTCTGCCTTTTGAAATTAGTCAGTTGTGTTGTATGAAATAAAGTTATGGGAAATAAACATGAAGTATGTATAGTTACATTCTATCAAAATTGTTCCCAAACAGAATTAGATGAACTGAAGGGTAAAGTTGAATGTTTTGTTTACTGAACCCAAAAAACAAACAACTATTATTTTAGCCCTCATCAGGCTTTGGAGAGGTTATATTTCAGTCAATCAATCATGCTCTATCTGTATCCACAAACTCTCCTCCAAACAGTAGAAGCTATAATTTATTTCATGAGTTATTTCATATCAGACAATGTATTCATTACTAAAGAATACACATAGTGAACTCAAAACAATATTATGAATATTTTATCAAAAAATACAGATGATTTACCATGCAATGAACTCTCCTGATTTTGTTGCATTCATTTTCACCCTAAAAATATCAATAGAGGCATAGAGAAATCAATACCACTATGTTAAATTTCATCAAAAGCTGATATGGAAAAGTATTTTTACTCTCAATGTTTCTGTTATTAGTGCTTATCTTGGTACTCATTATAAAAAAATGTATATATTTTCCAAAAATTCACTTTTTTATTCAGGGTGTCCCATAATTACATAGAAAGAGTTTTCAACCATAGGTTCTAGGAACTAAAAGAGTAAAAACAAGTTCATTTAAACATGGGTCCAGAAAAGGCTCTCCCTAGGAAGTTATAGCCATCTGGAGGAGGGCCCAAAATGGTGGTGAATAATTTCACAACCCTACATATATATAGGTATACAGTGTGTCCCACTTACCATGCTCACCATGGGTATCTTTTTAACAGTGAGAGATACGAGGTCAGTTAAATGACACCAAATGTGGACTTCGTCAAGGTCAACTATAATGTGAAAAAATATTTTGATAAAATCTATTCCTTTTTGTTTAATACACAAAAAACAGATTTTGATCATTTTCATATTTCCTCTGTAACTTCTTTATTCATGGTAATATTCAAATAGGAATTTCACATTCTCATGGCAGTTTTTCAAAGTGATTTCGAAAAAAATATGAAATTTATACCAACTCTTCTAGAATTTGAGATATCAACACCAACTTTAGTTCATCAAATATAGGTCATAGCTCACTATGACTTAGTTAAAAATAACTTTTTTTTTCTCTTACAGATGATATGTCACAGTAATAGTTTTGTGTTGATAGCAAAGGAGTTATCGGCAGTTTTTCAAAGTGATTTCGAAAAAAATATGAAATTTATACCAACTCTTCTAGAATTTGAGATATCAACACCAACTTTAGTTCATCAAATATAGGTCATAGCTCACTATGACTTAGTTAAAAATAACTTTTTTTTCTCATACAGATGATATGTCACAGTAATAGTTTTGTGTTGATAGCAAAGGAGTTATCATCATTTATAGAAAAACAAAAAATTATTTGGAAGCCGCCATCTTGAATTGATGAATTTTAACAAAAAATCATGATCTCCGACCTCAAAAACCCCCTCTTACCAATTTTGAATAGAATCGGACCAAATCTTGTCCGCCATCTTGGAGCAGCCATTTTTTTTTTAATTTCAACAAAAATTCCATAATGTATTGTCACTTCTGGTCGTCCGATTAACTTGCAATTTGGCAGGTATTCATAATTTCGGTACATTAAAGAAACAAAAGTTATTTGTAACAAGTCATAGTGAGCTATGACCTACATTTGAAAAACTAAAGTTGGTGCTGATTAGGGGTGGGAAAAATTATCGATATATCGATAATTATCGATAATTATCGATAATTATCGATAATAATTTGGAGAAAAATTATCGATTTATCGATATTATCGATATTATCGATATTATCGATATTATCGATATTATCGATATTATCGATATTATCGATATTATCGATATTATCGATATTATCGATATTATCGATATTATCGATATTATCGATATTATCGATATTATCGATATTATCGATATTATCGATATTATCGATATTATCGATATTATCGATATTATCGATATTATCGATATTATCGATATTATCGATATTATCGATATTATCGATATTTTCGATATTTTCGATATTTTCGATATTTTCGATATTATCGATATCATCGAAATAATCAATTATGTCGATGATATCAAAATTATCGAAATTACCGATATAACCAATGATATAAAAATTATCAAAATGAATGAGCATCAGAAACATAGGTATTTTTGTTTCTTATATGGAACACCCTGTATAAAACAGATACTTGTTGGTAAGAATTGAAGTAAGAATGAAGAATATAATAAGACACGCCACCCTGTACATCAGCCCTGTTCAAACAACATAGGACTCCAGCACAGCAACTTGCATGAAGCTATCTGACATCTGGCAACGTGGCAACCCTTATTAGTTGTGGTGGCAAACTTATTGGTTAGTTATGTGTTGAACGAGTAACAAGTATCAAGTAAGGTGGGTTATCTAATTATATGGAATATTTTTATTTCATCATTCGATTGCTCATTCCTTGAAAAATAACATAATGACAAAATGGCTTTGTTTATTATACCTACGTAGAAACCAGAAAGTAAATATAAAAAATTAGTTTTATAAAAATACCCTTGTCACGACTAGGGGTGGGAAAAATTATCGATATATCGATAATTATCGATAATAATTTGTAGAAAAATTATCGATAATATCGATAATATCGATAATATCGATAATATCGATAATATCGATAATATCGATAATATCGATAATATCGATAATATCGATAATATCGATAATATCGATAATATCGATAATATCGATAATATCGATAATATCGATAATATCGATAATATCGATAATATCGATAATATCGATAATATCGATAATATCGATAATATCGATAATATCGATAATATCGATAATATCGATAATATCGATAATTATCGATAATATCGATAATATCGATAATATCGATAAATCGATAATATCGATAGATTATGATTATCGATAATCGATATTTCAAAATCATTATCGCCCACCCCTAGTGCTGATATCTAAAATTCTAGAAGAGTTGGTATAAATTTTATATTTTTTTCGAAATCACTCTGAAGAACTGCCATGAGAATGTGAAATTCCTATTTGAATATTTTCATAAATAAAGAAGTTACAGAGGAAATATGAAAATGATCAAAATCTGTTTTTTGCATCCAAAACAAAAACGAATAGATTTTATCAAAATATTTTTTCACATTATAGTTGGCCTTGACAAACTCCATATTTGGTGTCATTTAACCGACCTCGTATCTCTCACCGTTAAAAAGATACCCATGGTGAGCATGGTAAGTGGAACACACTGTATATATATATATATAGTAGAAGGGTAGTCGTTATATATATACCTAACTTCTTATGCCCAATTCTGGAATGTTGATGACTCTGAATTTTTTATCAGGGATGTGGAAAATAGGTGGGGCTAGGGGCACTATTTCTTTCAACTTTCTTGTTTATGCGATTTTCGGCATTATATACCAGGAAAGGAAATATAAAAATGTCAACAATTTTAACCAAAAATGGTACTTTTGTTTCAGTAGCACACACCATTTTCAAGATGAAATGATTTAAAAACTCTAAAGTAATTGTCCTTTTCCGTACTTTCCCCTCAATAGGGTAGGTACAGAATTTTTAAAAAAAATTATAGTTCCATGGAAAATACCCCTTCTTTCAACCTACTTTCAATGTTTCATTCAAAATATGTGAGGTGCAATGAAAATATCGGATTGAAATATATTATGGTAGGTACCCTACTAAAAACAAAATGCTATTTTTCCAGGACCTCTACAAAAATCTCAATTCATGTTCAGGAATTTTATGAAAATTCTGTATACTCCACTGGATTCAGGATGTCTTGAAATATTACTGATCACAGTTTCATCGAAATCTGTTCAGTAATAAAAATTGATGGGTTGATTAAACGGCATATTTTTCAAATTTCATTCCTTTATAGCTTTTTTATTGATTGACGCATTTCAACGTAATTTACATGTTACCCATTTGAAAATGTCACAAATCCAGTGGCGTAGTCAGATTTTTTCTAAAAAAATCGCTAGTAATTTTTTTAGATTTTTGACCTTGAAAAATCAGATTAGTTGGCCCTGGAAATGGAGATTTATTCATGATATTTGGTGTCCTAATAGACTTTTTGAATATCTACCTATCAAAAAAAAAATCATCCCAATCGGTTGAAAAATGTAAGTTTTATAAGGGTGCTTCCATCTTAAATAGGTCACACTGTATAAGTACTAATGATATGTATAAATCAAAAAAGGACAATACTTTATTTGATTCAGATTAAATTCAATTTCATATATATCTCTGTTATATAACAGTTTGTTTCTTGTATTTTGTGATATTTGTGAGTGTTTTTGAATTGAGAATTAGGAATACGAATATTTTTGTATGAGAATGTTAGTTTTAATTGTTTCTATTTTGTTGGAAATGAGTTACTTTTCTGTTCACTAGATTAGATTAGATTTAGAGTGGGGCCTTCGGGCTATCTGCCTCCACACCGCGACCTTTTCAGATCTATTGTGTCTGTCCTCAAAATCGTCCTTTGCCTGACAGAACCTGCACAGCAGTTCTTCAGTCAGACCTATTAATTGTACTCATGTGTTTGTTGAGCCCTGTGAGAAATCCCACTAGTATTCTAGTTGTACTTCGTTTCTGGCTCAGTAGATATTCTGTGAATGTTGGCGATGGTTTTTTAATAAACTCTTTTGCCTGTCTCATTCCTGGCGACTTGTTCCACCAATCATGAGATTTGGTTTGCATCCTTGATTTGATACTTGTTTTTTGTATAGCTTTCGCAATACCACAAAAGGGTTCTGGGCCATTAAGAGCTTTGTTTGCTCCTGCTCGGGCAAGTGAGTCTGCCTCTTCATTGCCCTCTTACCCTGTATAATAATAATAATAATGATAATAATATCGTCTTTATTATTTTCTCCCATTTCACATTTGAATTAAGATGAAATATATAACATGTTTATCTTTGGACGAAAATTAAAGGCGGAGTTCAATTTCAATAGTGACGAATAACCATGGAAATCGCTCTTCCACTGGTGCTGGTACCCATGCTAGAGTCAGTCTGTTCTCACTGCCCAGTTCATTTAGGATTCCTGAGCAGTCCTATACTAGCTTTTAGTTAACTTGCATTGAGTTTACTGCTTTGATTGCCGCCTGGCTATCCGAATAGATTGTAATGGTTTTCCCTTTGAATACTTGTCTTATCAATTCTTTTACACAATGATGTATTACAATAATTTCTGCCTGAAACACCGTCGCGTATTTGCCTAAGGTCAGTGAGATTCTTGTCTTTGGCTTGGCCCCATAAATACCAGCTCCTGACCCTTCCTCGGTTTTGGAGCCGTCCGTATAGACAGCAATGTCTGCATTGATAGGAGGTCCTTTCTTCCTTGCCTCTGTCCGTTATACTTATTTTAAAAGTTTTTTCATAAATATATTTTGGAATTATGCCATCTGTTGGCATTCCCATGATGGGGTCGCTTTCCAACTCTTCATATAGTTTCCTGTAGTCTTTACCGTGCGCGTTGTTTATGAGTGCTTGACCCCTGGACAATCTACTCACGACTGCTCTGGCTTCGCCTTGCATGTATATTTGTAGTTGTGGCAAGTTCAATAGGACATCTGAAGTGGCTGTTGGAGTGGTTCTCATTGCACCAGTGGCACTCAGGCAAGCTTGCCTTTGAATGGCACTGAGCCTTCGAACCACTCCAGCCTGTTGTGTCTTTGGCCACCAAACCACCGACCCATATGCTATCATGGGCCTAATGACACTGGCATAGAGCCTTGTGGTCATTTTTGGTCACATTCCCAAATTTTTTCGCACATTCCTCTGCACAGATTGAAGGCTACTGTACTTCTTTGAACAATTTTTTGTTGACTTATGGTCAAAGATAACTGCTAAGTATTTTGCTTCTAGGGCAAACTGAATTTTTACCCCGTTGAGTACTGGTGACCTTAATCCTTCCAGTACTCCCATTCTCGTGAAATTCACTATAGTGGTTTTATGAGGGTTCACTGTGAGTTCCTCCTCTTTACTCAAGCTTTAGCGATAACCGCCAGATCGTCGGCGTATCCTAAACAGTAATAACCTTTGGATGATAGCCTCTTGATCAATTCGTTCTTTAGAATGGCTCATAGTAGGGACGATAATACTCCTCCCTGTGGACATCCCCTATCTGCTCTAGCTGTCAGTGTTGTCTCGCCAATTGTTGATATGCTGACACAGGACTAATGGTACTCCATTCCTCGCTAGGGTGTTGATTATAGAATCTGTGGTTGCGTTGTTGAAAGCACCCTCTATGTCTACGGATTTTATAGCCATTTCTTTGTCCTACATCGACTTTGTGAGTAGCCTATTCAAATAAAGTCAGTTGACTTGCCTGGCTGATACACATATTGGCGTTCGTTAAGAGAATTTGTTTGTAATACCTCGTCTCTTATGTATCTGACTATCAGTCTTTCCAGTGTTTTGAGCAGGAACGACATTAAAGTTATTGGGCGGTATGATTTAGGCGTTTTGTCACCCATCTTTCCCACTTTGGGTAGGTAGATGACTGTCACCTTCTGCCATACGATGGTTTTATATCGTATTGCTATACAAGCCTTGGATATACGACGCACATATGGAATTAGTATCTCCTGCCCCTTTTCAAGCAGAATGGGGTATATTCCATCTACTCCAGAGGATTAATAAGGTTATCTCTGTAGCTATCCTCAATTCCATGGCAGTTGGCCTTTTGGCTGTTTACTAAAAGTACATAATGTCTTGACGTCATAGGATTATTCCATTATCCTTTCTTGGAATTAGTATTTCTTGGAATTAGTATTTCTTGGAATTAGTATCTAGTATACTAGATCTTTAACAGATCTATTGAAATCTACTGAATTTTTGACAAGGTATTTACTGATGGAATAAAAATCGAACGCGCGGAGAGTGAGTTGACAACAACTTTCATTTACTATTGTCAAATTAATTATTCACGATATCCGATAGATTTCACCTGTGAATGGGACCGTGATGTGGATATGAGTGTTTGAGGTCGACCAAAAAGTTAATATGCACATCAGCGAAAAACTGTCTATTGTCTCGCCGGATTGCTAGCCTCGGCTTTAAATTCGCAGACTCGGCTATAATAGACAGTGTTTCGACCTTGATACATAAATAACTATTTTATTAGGCTTATTAGACTTTTAAAATCGATTTATCTCTACAATGGTGAGTGCTATCGAAAATAAACATGAGTTACATGTTGAAGCAAAAATTATGATATTTCAGTATTTCTAGATAAAACTGCTGAGAATTGTATAAACAAAGACGTTGGGGCGAACAGTGCCCCTAGGCTCACCTATCTCATATGACCCTGATCAAAATTTCGGAAAATTTTGGACATTTTCTATTTTGGCTTTAAAAGTAAGGCATATGTACAAAATTTGCTTATTTAATCACAGAGGGTTTACAAAAACTTAGCAAAAAACCATCATCTCAGTGTCTCCTTCTGATGTAATTTTTTGTTTATTCATTGTTTTCGTGTGTCACATACGATAATTGATACTTATCTTATTGTACTGTTATTCTTCCTTTTTCTTTTTTGACGAAATGGATCCTTCCACTACATATATCATTCCAGATTTGTCTATAAGAACAATATTCTTGGACAATAAAATAAACCACAGATTGATGGATTGATGGATTGATTGATTCATGGTGATAACCCCCAGGAGGCTATTTCTGAACCCATGTGTATATGAACTTCTTTCACTATTTTTGTTCCTAGAATCTTTGGTCGAAATCTTAATTTCGGGACACCTTGTATAACTAAGGAACTATAAATAATTTTGAAATTTTTCTAAGGCTAATGAAATTACCCTCTGAATACACAACTTTGACTAATATCATATAATATGATAGGATATATGGCACCTGGTCAGATTCCCACTGAGATCTGTATTTTCTGTACAACAACTTCCTGACCTATTTCTCTCATATTAATTCGGACATAAGATTTTCACTGTTTCCTTCGGTGATTTTCACGTTCCTGTGAGTTCCTGTGAGTATTTCTCTATGAGTATTTCCCTTGGAAAGTGGAAATCAAAGAAAAAATCATATTCAATAATATCAAATAATTTATATAGATATCTGATTTCTGATTACTTCCATTGTCTCTCAGAATATAGATACTTTTCATCCTTCAACACATTCTTCACACACTTATAATAAATGTATGATATGTATTTAAAACCGCAAATATAATGAGATTTACAAGGATCTTGGTTCCACTTGACAATATTTTGAAGAAAAAAAAATTTCAGCATGCCTTCTCTTCGTTTTTATTCCTCAAAGGGAAAATTCTGGAAGGGATGGATAACAGGGGACTGGCTGCCGATTGTTACAAACAAGCTTTACATTTCGACGTGCACTGCTTTGACGCCTTCGATTCATTGATAAAGTATCAAATGCTGACTGCTGCCGAAGGTAAGGCTAATAACCTTCAAGGTTACTTCCCAATGTAGCATGTTTTGCTCTTTTATTATATTCATAACTAGATGGTGAAAGTTAAACGCGGATCACGGAATCAAAGGATCTAGGGGTTCTGTTTAATGAAAAACTCACGTTTTCCAATCACTGCAACTGCAAGGAATTTAGGACCCTTGACTCCTTGAAAACCATTTATATCACACTGACCTGGAGCAAATTAGAGTACTGCAGTGTCGTTTGGAATCCGTCTCATATGAATCATATATTTAGCCTAGAAAATGTTCGGAAAAATCCTTGAAATATGCATATTTAAAAAAACATAGTGTTTATCCCGAGAAAGGTTATAGCTATGATTCATTGTTGGACGAGTTTCATATGATATCTGAAGAAATTCACGGAAAGCTGAGATATGTGTTTTGCATATATTGTCTCATGTGCTATTCAATGAACCGCGTATTTCATCTAGGTTTTTTAGCATATTCCATATTCCTATTTCCAATACAGTGCATCATTTCAATTCTCCCATATCTACTATATCTAGAAGTGTTAATAAGGTTCCTAGTGTAGAGATATTTTTTTAACGTTCAATCAATTCAAAAAAGAGATTCTCCGTTTCATTCAGAACTGATTCTGTTATATGTGTAATTATTCATAATGCTAATTGTATACACCTGTGAATGGGCTTTTGGGCCTGCTGGATGTATTGTATCAATAAATAAATAAATAAATAGCTACCTTATCAAAGATAGAGGATATTTTTTTCTCGCTGTTTGAGGTTCAAACAGACCTATATTAACTTGGAAGGAGTGATGCAAATGTTATCTACTGAGAAAACACATTCAAAAGCTGTCAATTTTTCAGATGAAGTATATGGTCGCACTCAAAGTGCTACTAATTTGTTGAAATCCTTATTGATGATCGTCAAAGTCAACAAATTCTTTCATGTAATTGGTAAATCGTTTTTTTAAATAATTTCTATGACTTTTGATAGGGAACTACTGAAATAGGTCTGTAGTTATCTATGATGTTATTAGGGCCAGTTTGTGTATGGGCGTTACCTTGCTGACTTTGAGAATATCTGTGGATATACCTTTTTGAAATATTCATTCATTAATTTTACTAAGATTGGTATAATATATTCCTTGAGTGTTGAATGAACTTTGGTATTTATGTCGTATGCAGGTGCTGCATTTTTATTGGGTTCATATAAGGTTTCTGGAACTTCTTGAGTATTTGTTTTGTATCGGTTGCATGCAAGATCTGTCAGATGACCGACCCTGGAGGAAAAACATTGAAACACAACCTAACTTTTCTCATCTGTTAACACAGGATTGAAATAGTTTTTCACAGTTATTTTGGTATAGCAATCGTGTTTTTCGGCTATTCATTAATTCATGCATCACAATGTGCTGTTTCACAATGCAAAAAAAATGCAGTGCGAGACGATGGAATACGTTTTTTTCAGGTAGGTGCATTGTGATCAAAAAGTACTATAGTCACTCACATAGTCACATACCGGGTGACACAGGGTATCGGGCCACCCCTGTAACTTCTGCTTCCGTGATCGGATTTTTCTGAAATTCGGTACAGTTATATAAGCAATTATTTCGGATTTGATCACATTACAATCCAATATGGCGGACTTCCGGTATTTCTGGAAATGCCAGCAACTTTGTTTTTTCAAATGAAACACCCTGTATATTTTTACATATTCAAGTTCAACAGGTCGAAACAAGTGCAATCTTTATTTCAAATGTCATTTTTTCGAAAAAAATTGAATTAAAATTGTTTTTTCATTTTACCTCGTGGATAAATGAGATGTGGTCAAGACTATTCACAATGAGTCACACATAACAGAAGAACATAGTTTTTTCTGAAAAATTATTTTTTTTGTCACTTATCCAGGAATCAATTCAGCCACATCACTTTTTGATCAAAAATTATTTTTTTTCAAATGGAACCCCTATGGGCCACCTACCCGTTTCTCTAGAACATACATTAAGGAACAAAATGAAATATCATTTTTGTTTTTCGGTGCAGTAACAAATTGCATACATTCAAAAATCAACAACTAGTTTATGAATTTCCATGCAATTAGAATAATTTTTCAACTAGGTAGGCTGTGGAATAAATGACATTTGACATCAAGATTGCACTTGTTTTGACCTGTTCAACTTGAATATGTAAAAATATACAGGGTGTTTCATTTGAAAAAACAAAATTGCTGGCATTTCCAGGAAAACCGGAAGTCCGCCATATTGGATTGTAATGTGATCAAATCCGAAATAGTTGCTTATATAACTGTACCGAATTTCAGAAAAATCCGTTGACGAATGCAGAAGTTACAGGGGTGGCCCGATAGCCTGTGTCACCCGGTATAGTTTTCCTTTAAAATTTTATCATTCCTCATTGGAATTCCTCCTGCAAAAAAAGCTAATAGAAATAATCGAGATAATAGAAACAATGCAGGAAGATTGGATTCATGCAATCAAAAGGAAGGACTAGTCTGACATTCTGACGACATTTTCACTCTATTAGCAGTATTAGCTTCCATTGCAGAAGTGGTAGAAGGAATTCTAATTTGTAATTAAAAATGACAAAATTTCATAATGAAAACTATTTGAGATCACTTTTTACCTGAAAAATCCTATTCCTTCGTCTCTCGCTGCATTTTGTGTGCATTGTACAACAGCACAATGTGATCGCATGCTTGAATTAATAAATAGCCCAAAAAAAAACAATTTTTAAGTCAAAATATTGTGAACAACTATTTCAATCATTCGATTCCCTAGTGAACAAATAATAAAAGTGAGGTTGTGTTTCAATGTTATACAGAAAAGTGAGGTTGTGTTTCAATATTTCACCTCCAGGGTCGGTCATCGTGCACGCGACCTATAGGTATATTGAGCAGTCATTTATGATTTCCTTAACCTCACTAGATGATTATGTTTGTAGATGACTGATATTTATCATTGATTCACCAATTCTGGTTCATTTTTTCAGCTATATTTTTCTTTGGGATCACCAAAGATTTGTCATTTAATTCCTAGATTATTGATCTGACTACTTTGGACATTGGCTTTAATAAGATTATTGATAAGTTTTCATTGTTCTTTCTAGTTATTGCCTGTCGCTCCTTCAAAATATTCCTGTTTCATTTTTTTTTTTTTTTTCTCTACAATATTCTTATGTTTTTGGAACTCTCTGACTGTATCCACATTGAACGGGTGTTTCATTTTTTCAATATACTAGGTGTCCCTGAAAGGTATGTACAAAATAATACCATATACTTCTGAGACCAAAGTGAGGTTATTGAACCAAACTCACCTCTATACTGAGCTCTATACCAAAACGCTTCGTTTAGCCGCTACAGGGCGTCGGAATTCAATTCTTTATACTGTCTGCAGGTTAATCGAGGAGGTGGTACTTTCATTATTCTAGATTTTTTCGGGATTTTCTCTCGTCTCTATAAAATAAAAATATGAATACTATTCTATACAGGGTGGGCCACCAGTAACGCCTCGTTCTCTAGAAGGCTAACCACATATCTTTTTGGAATTCTTCCTCTCTAGGAAGTTGCATGTCAACATGGGCTACCATTTAAAATTATTTCGAAACATACAGGGTGTCCCCAAAAACCATAAAACATTGAAGTTAAACTTTTTTCAATCGAACACCCTATATATTATTTCATTTTGAGATTCTCCCTGATGAGCTGATTTCAACGACCCATACTTGGGGTCTAGCAGTTATAATTACTGAAATATAGGGTGTGAAAAATCGAGATTTTCCAAGTTCAAGAATTTTTTGTGTCGAAACTATTCATAATTGGTCAAAACGGCTAACATGTCCCTATCTCAACTTTTGATTAACTATCTACTGATATTTAATTGGGACATATACCGGGTGATCAAGATTCTGAATTCTGCACCACCCTGTATTTGTTTCAATTGAATGTCAGTAGATAGTTGAAGGGAGATGTGAGCCGTTTTGACCAATTATGAATGGTTTATACACAAAAAATTCTTGAACTTGGAAAATCTCGATTTCTCACACCCTATATCTCAGTAATTATAACTGCTAGACCCCAAGTATGATGGATTGTTGAACTCAGCTCACCAGGGAGAATCTCAAAATGAAATAATATATAGGGTGTTCGATTGAAAAAAGTTCAACTTCAGTGTTTTGTGATTTTTGGGGACATCCTGTATGTTTCAAAATAATTTCAAATGGTAGCCTATGTTGACATGCAACTTTCTAGAGAGGGAGAATTCCAAGAAGAAAAGTGGTTAGCCTTCTAGAGACCGAGGCGTTACTGGTGGCCCACCCTGTATAATACTAACTATATAATCAATATAAGTGTAGTTAGGATAAATCCGATGATTTGCCCAAAATGTCACTGCGTTTAAAGAATTTTACTATCAGAGAGTCTAAAAGAAAATTTCACTAGCTTGTCAGTGACACTTTGAAAAGGGTTTGGAGAGGAGAAATAAGGTATATAGAAAAATATCAAATTTTTACTTATCTTTGGACGTTTCGGAAATGAATCTGCTCCCGTTTTCAACATAAAAAATGGATTTTTTGTATTGCAAATTCGTATTTGTCCTGACACTTTTCAGTTATCAGTGACAATTGGTGACATTGGCAATCAAATGAGTTACAGGATGTTTTCATTAATTAATCTTGAAATTACCATGAGAATCATTGACTCAAAATAATTTCAAATCATCAGCAAAGTTGCTCAATTTAATGCCTTACAAAATGCCATTTCGAAATTTAAAAAATTCCGAATACTTCCAAAGACTTATTCGAAGAATTTATATTATTTGCAATTTCCATAAGAACTCATGTGTTAGACAGAGATGGAGAGTAGATTTTTAATAGGATTAAAATAAACGCCTTTTTCGAATAGGGACGATACACCGTCGATTTTAGGAGATTTAATGCTTTTAAAATCCATAATAAAAAATCCAGGACCATATTTAAAAAACAAAGTTGATGATGACAGCTCAAAGACGACACGTCGATTTGAAAATCTGGTAACACCATCTTGTAGAACAGGAAAAGTAGCAATGAAAATGTGTGATTTGTTTTGTTACGTCTATTCAAATAGTCATGAAAAAAATAAAATGAAATCGCCAATGTTCCAAAATTTTCAAATTTCAAAACGGCATTTTGTTAGGCGCAACTTTGCTATAATTCAACCGTCCCTGTATTTCTTACGGTTTACCAAAACCCCAATGATGAGGCTCGAATTCCAGCCATCATATACAACGTTTCGTTTCCAAGAAAAGATTACTGATATCCCAATGCTGTCCATCCTTATCTTGGGCATAGTGCATGCCATGGGAGAAGATGCACAGTTCAGTTCATTCCAATTTTAGAGGAAGACCTACTGAAATCTTTGCCGATCGCCGAACAATGCTCGGCCGAGGAGGGCGAAATCCTGCAGACCCTCTACGAGTCCAAAATGAAAAAGTACCACACTCCGACGCTGGCCAAATCGAACGAGAGCCGGATACTGTACAGCAACACTCCTTTGACGAACAATCGGCTCGTCTACAAATTGAATCTCACGCCTGATCCGATGAGGTAATATACCATTTTATTCAACCCATTATATAAGTCACAAATAATTCTCGTTGTGAATTTTCATTTCAGTTTCCTAATATAGCTTCATTTTGGGGTTAAAAGCCCATGATACACCATGTTTTGGTTCATTTTTCATTGAGACTGAAAACAAAAATGACGTCCTCAATTGAGGTCACTGGACAAGATTTACATTACATTTTTGGAAAAATGTCCGTGGTTGATGGATTTGATAAGTGACTTATTCAATAACATTGGTCTTTGTCAGGAAACAAGAATGACATGATCTGCTCGTTCTCACGTCGTGCTTTTTTTTGGGATAAGGGTATGCTACTTCTTTTCGGAAATCCATTTACTACGACGATATCCACTATTCGAATGAAAATATACCAATACCTTTTTTTTTTGTGAATATGCAGTGTTTTTCTAATAACCAATCGTGTTGATCCTTGCCGCCCATATATTTATTATAATTTGAGATAGTTGCAAGACAGAAATCTTCTTTCGCTCTTTCTTGCTTCATCTCTGTACTTTATTGGTATGGAATATAGTATCGAAATTGGTTGCAACAGAAACATTTACTGTCCTCACTGTTACAAATAAGTATTTTGTTGGTGTCATCAAAACGCCAATCGTATGCACCTCAAGGCTCCTTTTCGTGGTTCTTTGATGATTAGTCTAGAGCCCAGCGTCTTCATTCGAGGACACGCACGTTTCATTACAATATTTTCATTTTCATGTGAAATAACATGTGTCAAAGCAATCCACAGTTATTGTTACATGTTATATGTCTTCTGTGATAGAAAATGTCACACAACACTCACCTTTGTTTAATTTTTTAATTTTTTTTTCATGGAAACCATCTCCTGACAATAACAAACACAACAAAAAAGAATGAGTGAAACTGGTCAAGCCGTTTACGATTCTATAAAGGACATACAAACATGCAAACACTCATTTTTATATAGAATAAGAAGAAGAAAATAAACTTGGACATAAAATAAAAAAATACATTATGCCAAATGGCTAACGACCAAAGTCTTCCTGCCAGTATATACTAAATCATTTTATGTATTTCAAGGGCATTATTTGAATAGTGATTTTTACAAGGTGAATTATGAAAAAAAAGGTGCATTTTATACATTATTATACTATCTGTTGGTATTTTGTCTGGAGAGTGAATCATATAGGCTGAATTCAGGAAATTTGCGTTTAATAATAATAATAATAATGTATTTATTCCTTGAATTGATCATACAAAAAATGATAAAGGAATCGTCAAAAAAAAAGTTGTATAAAATTATTATAAAGAGAATATACAAACACATAAAAGTTAAAATATTGACATAAAGATAAAATGGGTCTAACATTCAAAACATCCAGAAACTATGATTGGAGGTAAACATTTGAAATACAATCACATTAAAAATAAAAATACAAATACAAAAATACAGATTGAAACAAGACCTCCGTGGAACTCCCTCATCATATTTATGTATCCTATCGAATATTAACATTTGGTTGATTTTTTCTTGCCCTTGGAAACCTATGCAGTTCGATATCATCTCTCGAAATCATTTGGTAATAATTTGTAATTATTTTATTGTTTTCACTTTCATTTTCTGTACTGATACTTACCCGCTCACGCCACCACTTAGCTATGCAAAGAATTATTAACGCACTTGCCTCGACCTCGCTGTATTTTTACAGTAATCTGGCTAATGGGTCAATTCCCAAAATATATACTAGCGCATAACTCCGCAAGGTGTCGCTACTGGTACCGTTTTTCAATTATTTCCACTTGAGTGGGCCTCTGGCCGTTTTTGCGCTGTTTTTTTTGATATTGCTACCAGAATAAAATTCTTTTAATTCTAACTTTCGGCGTATGAACTGGTCTCTGGCAGCCTTTGGCTCGACAATTGTGCAATAATTTAGCTGTTCATACTGATATTGTAGCGATTTGGCCTGGTGCTTTAGGTAAGAGTAGAAAAACACTTTGTTTGTGAAATATTTACTTAATTCTGTAAACCTTTTTAGATCACGTATTATACAACGAATAAATGAATCACGTGTTCCATGGGCAAACTTTGAGTTTTTCATCCACAATTCCAACTCGTAAAGAACCCCTATAAAAGAAAAGCAAGCTGGTCAAGTGCTTTTCCCGTTTCATCTGGCGCCCAACGTGGGGCGAGTATTGTGGAGAAAAATTGTGTGTTTTGCCACTAAAATGGAAAATGGAAATGGGAAGTCCCAAACACCTGGACCTAAAACAAATACCCCAAACGAAGGGTATAATTTGCGAAGAAGAGAGACGCTGAACCTACCTAGACATTTGGCAAACGATTTCATTCTGGAAGAACCAGGAGATAATGTAAACAGAATCCCAACACCTAGGGAAAATATTAATAGGAATGGTACACCGGCAAATGATCAAGGTAGGATCAACCCAAATCTATTTTTCCCCTCAAATTCTGCGACTGGTCAACCATCGGCTAGCCGGCCCCCTTCTGCTCAACCTTTTGCTGAGCAGCCACCCTTCTCGGGCCAGACTCCTGCAGGCCAGCCTTTTTTTGGTCGGCTTCCAAATAGGCAGCAGTCGTTCAGGCAACCGCCTTTTGGGCAACCAATTTATGCCCAACCACCCCCTGTGTACAACCCCAACTTACATAACCCATCAACTCCAATGCAGCCAGCAATCAGCCAGGAAGATATTGCCCGAATTGTCACACAAGTGATTTTATCCATGCAAAATGTGAACATAAATTCTGATAATAGTAGTTCTAGATTGAATAACCAAAATTATGTGATTAGGTCTGATAATTCTCAAAACTATTGTAATATGAAAATGCCTGAGCTGCCAGTTTTTTATAATGATGATTCTATACATCCAATCGAATTTTTGAATAAAATCGAAACAATACTTGATACCAGTAGCATGACATACAAACAATTAGTGGCAATAATAGGAAACTTATTCAAAAATAAAGCTAAGTTGTGGGCTGATGCGTGGCTTGAAAGTTTTTCAAATTATGACAATTTCAAACAAAAATTCTTGAAGCAATTCTGGCATGAAGACAAGCAATTTGAAGTTAAAATGAAAATCGAAAAGGGTCCATACACAGAGGGTGATTCATTTGTAGACCACTTCAATAAATTTATGGCAATGGCTAGATACCTAGAACAGCCATTTCCCGAAGCAATTTTAGTTGCCAAAATTGGCAAACATTTTCCCCCAAATGTTAGAAGTAGTTTGATTGGGGTACAGTCAGCTGAGGAGGCGTTGGAGAGGCTTCGTCACGCTGATTTCTACTATCCTCCCCCCTCAACAAGTAGGGTTAGGTTTACGTCATCTGAAGACCAGTTTGCTAAAAAAGAAAAATTTTATCAAAAACCAAGTCCCGGAAAATATGTTAGTAAAAATGTTGCAAACTTGGAACTTGAGTCTGAAACGTTGGTTTCGGAAAACTAAATCACTTTCCACATTCCAGCCCTATTGTGGAAGGTGTACTCAGTAGGGCCTTACCTAATGATTTCTTTCAGGACGAATGTGAATATGAACATTCAAAATCGGACCAACAATCTCCAATAATTGAGGCAAATTTTCATGGGTTCAAATTTCCGGCTCTAATAGACAGTGGGAGCCAGATTTCCTGTATTTCTGGAGAGGTTTGGTCCCAAATTTTAAATGTCTGTCCAGACACCCCTTTTTTCCCCTGTACTGGCGTCCGAGTAACAGGGGCTTTTCGTTCTAAGCAGAGACGAATTGAGGTACAGTCACTACTAACAATGAGATTGAACAATATTTATGATTTTAGTTTTGAATTTCTGATAATACCTGATCTGATTTACCCGGTGATAATAGGGGTTGATTTTCTAAAATCCATGAAGGCAAAAATTGACTTGTCTACTAACACTATTCAAGTAGTTTGGAGTAATAAAACTATCAATATACCAACCCTTAATATGCCACATGATTTCCAAGCACCGGAGGCTCCCCAAATCAACTTGTTATCTGAAAAAAAAATCTGTTTTTTACGGACCATTGGCGAAAACGATCAGTTAAATTCTTCCCCTTTTCAGGAAATTATCAATAACTGTTCTCTAGCTGGAACAGAGAAGATGGCTTTTGAATCCCTCCTTGAAAAAAATAAAAACATATTCTCAGAAACTCCCGGTTTGACAAATGAATATGAGCATGACATAAAACTGATCAATAATACTGGGGGATTTTTTGTGAAACCTTACCCCATCCCCATTGCCCATAGGGGAGCCGTCTACCAAGCCATCGCACAAATGGAAAAACAAGGGGTGATAGAACGAGCGGTCACCCCATTTATTTCACCCTTGATGACCACTGTAAAAAGGGACCAGTCTGTTCGCATCTGTTTGGATGCACGTAAGCTGAATTCCTTAATGGAGAGGGATTATGAGCTTCCCACTCCTATCGAAGAAATCCTCCGGACAATTACCTCAAATGGGGTGAAATTCATGTCCTCTCTAGATTTGTGCTCTAGCTACTACCAGATCCCCTTGAGCGCTCACTCTAAAAAATATACAGGTTTTATGGTTGGTACAAAAACTTACCAATTCCGAGTTCTACCGTTTGGTTTATGTACGGCAGTGGCTGCCTTCACACGCTGTATTGACACCATTTTTGGTCCGGAATTTCAGTCCTTTATGTCCAGCTACGTGGATGACTTGTTGGTAGTGTCCAAAACGTTTGATGAACATTTAGACCATCTTCAGAGGGTGTTTTCAAGGCTTGCAGAAGCAGGCTTTACCTTACGCCTGAAAAAATGTCATTTTTTTAGATCAGAAATGCCTTTTCTTGGTTACATCTTGAACCATGAGGGTATCAAACCGGACCCAAGTCGCGTCCAAGCCGTTTCCGATTATTCACCTCCCCAAAATGTTAAGCAACTGCAACGCTTCTTGGGGTTGTGCAACTTTGATAGGTCTTTTTGTCCCAGATTCTCGGCCTTAGCAGAACCATTGAACGTTCT